TCATAAATCAGTTTCTAGCAAAGAAAAGGCACAGTTAAAAACGTATTAGAAATTTCAACCTCCTCTTATTCACTACATTTCACATCTACATATTGCTTCCTCTTCCCTTAAGAAACGTCTTACATCAAAAATCATTATTTTACTAGCACTGAAGAGATCTAGAAAACCGTAACCAAAAATTTAGATTGCTTTCTGTGATGAAAGTTTCAGGCATCTGGATGAACATGCTAGGCGTCTACGAGAGCCTATGCGTTGCTAAGCATTGCTTAAACTTACATAGACTGTATATTGAAGATTAAAAGTAAGAATCATATTTTCTTCAAACTTCAGTTTCGTACTAACTTAAAATTTTTTGCATGCACTGTTTAAGGTTAGTGTCACATGATGTTATAATCACGAAGGTTTTAATTACTTTATGCAGTTCTATGTAATAACCTAGAGTGAATTGTGTTATTACCCAGAAGTTCATCATCTTGTTTTACAATGAGGAAATTAAAGGGCTTTTCTATTGGAAAAAGACATCTTTTTAGGTTTTTATGTTAAGTTTCAGTTAAATTATGACTAAACCATCTTAAAATAATAACGTTTTCCTTCTTTATTTATTTTTAAAAGACACTCATGTCTAAACGCACATACTTACAGCAATCAACAATAGCTACCCATAAAGCATGATTTATAATTTTACAAAATCTTCAATATCTCATAAATGTGAACATTGTGTGTGACATATATAATGAATGAAGTCTCTGAAATTCAATCAAAATTACCTCAATATGCTTTATAGCGACCTAAATAAACCTGTATTCCCACTTTTCATGCAGATATTTTCTCATTCTGTACAAATTTTAAGGAAAACATTTGATGAAATTTTAAGAGTTCCCCCAAACTAAATTTTTCTATATATATGTGCTCAGATCAAAGTTTCAGTGGGAACACAAGATTAATATAGAACACCTCACTGCTACTGAATTACTGCAGTCATTAATCAGAGTTTCCAAATATCTGTCTGAAGATTAAAATGCAATTTCCTTAACATAAGTCTCACGCTCATTTATATAAACTGATAAGATAGACAAGATAAGTTAGGTTTAGATAAATGCATTCAGAATGCAAAATTTAACTTTGCATTCTGAAGGCATTGAGTGCATTTCAATCATAATTGGCATTAAGCGTTAACTAACATTACAAATTGTCATCTGATCAATTGTAGAAACGGTTATTTACACCAGTAAGTGATATTTGCATTTTTAAGCAGTTCAAATGCCAGTTAACCATATGAAAGCAATAAAAATATCAACAGAGAAATCAGTAGTCAACCATGGATCTTTCTACATTCCAAACTCATTTATAAACTAAATTATTATATTTGAAATCATGAGAAGTTATCTTCTGAAATCCAAATTACAGTACTTTATCTTAAAAGCTTAATTTTATGTTATTTCATCTTCCCTCTTAAAAAAATCACTTTTAGCATAGATAATCACCAGAACTGGCTGATTCCAGAAGAACCTTTTTTACTGCTTGTATTAAGTAAAAGAAGTATTGTAATCACGAAAAACTCCGGGTATCACATTTCAACGAAATACCCATTTTGACAGCTACTAAATGCAATTTAACGATGTTTTTGCGTGACATCTGTATGTAAGGACAGAATAAAGGCCTCTTTTTTCCCAAACGAAGTATAAAACTGATTTAAAATGGATTCAGAGGAGATTTTTTTTCGTGACGTCTGTACGCACGTGCGTATGTACGTATGTATATATGTATACTCAAAACGAATAAATCAAAACTCAAAAATGAGTAGTCTCAGAACATTCAAATTTTGTATATGGGACTGCTATAACATGTAGTTGTGCACCTCCCTTTTTGGTTGCAATCGGGTGCACCAAATGTATATAAATATATGTACAAAGTGTTTCATAGATCATGGGACAAACTTGGAGGGGTAGTGCAGCGTACTAAAACATGCATTTTTTTATAGGAATGTAGGGTCTAATGTGATGGGTTACGGCAGGAACGCAAAAATACGATACGAGAGGAAAATGTGTTTATGTACAAAATCAACGCAAAGTGCTTCTTTGTAGAAATACAGTATTCAAAATAAATGTTCAAAATTGCCACCACCAGTAGTAATACATGCTTGGTAACGTCGTAGAAGGGATTGACGAACATTTTGAAAAACGGCAGGCATTTCACGCCCGCTTGCAGCCGCAATGGATAGTCGTGCAGCGAAGTCCTCCAGTAAGTCAACGGGAGTCTTGTGAATGATGCTCTTCAGATGGCCCCATAAAAAAAATCCAAGCTGGTTAAATCTGGCGAACGTGGTGGCCATCGAACGGGTCCACCACGGCCAAACCATGAGCCTGAAATGTCCCATCCAAGTAACTGCTGACCCGCAAGTGTTTATGAGCTGGTGTACCATCATGCTGGAACTACATGCGATCACGAAGGACAGCCGGAACATCCTGCAGTAATTCCGGTAGCACCTCTTGCAGAAAAATATGATAACATAAGCAATTTGTACTTACAGGTAAGACGTATGGGCCTATCTATGTTAACAATACCCTCCCACGCATCCATGGAGAAGTGGGTTTGGAATGCATGTGGACGTGTGCCGTGTGGATTATGAGTTGCCACACGTGCATGTTGTGGCTATTGAAGATGCCGTTCTGTGGGAAAGTTGCCTCGTCCATAAATAGCACATCCTATGGGAAATACGCCTACCCGCACACTGCTGCAAACCAATGACAGAAATGAACTCGAACAGGGTAATCTGCCTCTTGGAAGGCTTGGACTCTCTGCAAATGATATGTGTGAAAAACCATTTTCATGCAATACTCTCCAAACGGTGGAATGACTCAGCTGCAGACGACGTGCAATAGCTCTTGTACTTGTCTGAGGTGATTTATGCACAATGTTCAAGATGGCTTCTTCAATGCGAGGTTGTCGTGCACTTCTTCTTCCACTCCTAGTGTCAGAGGTGACTTCAAATGACCCGTTTTCACACAGAGACCGACGCAACCTCTCGAACATTGTGTGCTTCGGCATATGCCTGTTCGGAAACCGTTCCTGGTACAACCGTAGCGCTGCTCTGCCGTTCCTATTAGCAGCACCATACATGAGCTGCATGTCAGCTTCTTCCCTGTGCGTAAACTCACCCATCACGCATGACATCAGAGTTGCGAATGATCCTCTGATGCATCGGATCGTAGTTTGTCGGGCTCACTACCGCCCTCTAACGCTGTATTGCCAGACAATCTTAGCTGTAGTTCCTATTACTGTTAGTGTTTCCTTTTTTTGAACATTAATTGTGAATATTGTATCGCTGCAAAAAAGCACTTTCCGTTGATTTTGTACATAAACGCATTTTCCTCTCGTGTCGTTTTTTTTGCGTTGCTGCCTTAACCCGTCGCTTTAGACCCTACATTCCTATACAAAAAATGCATGTTTAATACGCTCCACTACCCTTCCAAGTTTGTCCCATGATCTATGAAACACCTTATATATATATAGCTCAGTTTTCTTTATTTTCCTTCAGAAAATTGTTATTTCTCAGACCATTTCAATAATAAATTTAAATCTTGTGCTCGGTAAAGTGGTAACACAGCTACGTATCAATTGTAAATATAGCCTATTATACCATAAGATAACGGGAAACGAAAAGTTAAAAGATTAAGCTTCAGATGCTTCTTATATCAGAAAAGGCGACAAAATGTCATCTAAAGAACAGGGTTTCAATTCCAAATGTTCAATTTAATTCTATGCTGCTGTAAAACAAATTTAACGAGGTTTATGCTACAGCTTGTAAAATTTAGTCGTATAAACGACCCCCAATACTTTACTTTTTCTCTCTGCAGATGCAGTCGTCTTAGAACATCTTCATTTAAAGATGTCAGAGACATTGTTTACCTTCGTCAGTTAATGCAACAAAAGAACAGAAGATTCATATCAAAGATATGACTTCGGCAATCTTTGCTGATATGCTTGTTACTGCAATCTAAGGAATCAAATTTAGATTATGTTTGGATGCTGTCACAAACGGCAGTTTGTTAAGAAGCATGAAAAGAAATGAATCTTCTAACTCGGTTCAGAGCAAAAATAAATGTTTAGTGGGCACGCTTATTTTCCTATTTCTTTCCAAAATTTCACAAATTCTGTTCGTAATTTCACAGAAAAAGGATTATTTCTCTAAATAAGGCAAATTAGATTACATTTCTTAAAATAAAAAATAAATAAATAGATAAAACATTTGTTAACATTATGTAAAAAAAATGACAAGTCAGTTTTAAAAGTAAAAAAATATTTTGACAGAGTTATTTACCTATTGTTTTTTTTAAATTTTAGCATATATGTAATTCTCATAAAAGTGAAACTCAATAGGTGACAGGTCATGTGAGTACACTTATATACCTTCTTTATATAAGTTATGTATGACATAGATTTAATCATCTTAAAAATAGCACATGTACTGAGTTTGAGGACGATAACTTTGCCTAATTACTGGAATTGAAATTAAAAAAAAAAAAGATATACCCTGTCATAAATTGTATTCGAATAAATTTAGTAAGTATCCCTAGCTCTTCTTCCTCCCAAGTTCACTTGCAAATTTGTAGGATTTAATTTCACAGATTAAATCCAAAATCTACAGTAATTCTGGAAACCAAAATTTAATATAGCAATCATTTAAATTTATATTATTTTTAGATTTTATACATTTGGGGAAGTTTTATAGCTCAGATGTTTCAAGTAACTTATAAAAGATTTTTTTTCAATCTCTCAGCTATTTTAGATTAGTTTATTTGCTGTTTAAATTTCTTAATATTATTCCGATTTATTCTTAGATCATTTTTTTGTTCATTCCATTTCTCTCCACCAACAATGAAAAACATTAGCATGAATAAGATTGTATTGTATCTGCCCCTTTGTTATATATTATTCATTATTACATTTATAAACAATTAAAGTATTTAATAATCAATTTAAATCAGCTCTAAGCTTACCTCTCGTGCAATTACAGTAGCCATTCGTATGTGTGCACTGAGCTCCATTTCGACATTCGCATAAATGGGAGCAATTAAAACCCCACCTGCCTCTTGGGCACATTTCATTACAGCTGCAAATAATGCAATTAGAAGTCAGTCTCATTGGAAAAAATAGAAAATGCATAAACTATAAGATAGCACAGTGCTCCGAAACCGGTGTGCCATGAGTAGGATATAGGTGTTCCGCAATCAAATACATGTATTTGACATTTTGCAATTTTTTATCATGTATTTAATACACAATGACAATTTTTTCCCTTTAATAATGTCTATTTTAAATGTTTCTATATACGAGTATTTCACTGTTGTGTGGTTGTGTGTGTGATTGTAAGTGTGTCAGCATTTGAATTTTTTCGGCACTTCCTTGATAACTCGGAACTCTTTGGTGTGCCACGAAATTCCAGAAAGATTTTTTGTGCGTCGCAGGTGAGAAAAGGTTGCGGAGCACTGAGATAGCATACCAAAATAAAAATAAATTAATATCAATGATATTTAGTATTTTCGATCAAAATATAATTTCTAGAGCTTTTAATATATGAAATAAAATTCTTATTAACCTCTCTAACCTAGATGTATCAAATAGCAATAATATAAAGGAACATTTTTTCTTTAAAGAGATACGTAAATATTCATTTCATAACTCTTTAAGCGGTTTTTAATTTTTTTACTATGCAGCAATGGTGAAAACCACTCATATTTTATTATATGGGTTTGTTCGACTAATGTCATTAATACGCAGAGGAATACACAAAAATCTCAATGATATCGCCTTTAATTAATAGAATTTTGAATGATCGCAGATATTTTGATACAATTAGCTCTAATGGAAGCATTTCTGAGAACTTTGTAGTACGACTGCCAAAATTTATAATCCTTAAAAAATATCAGCATAGAAAAACTTTTTCTATTCGTGGCAAATGGCCGTGTAGATGACCCCAAAAGTAACTTTACCATCTGAGCCATCTGAGCTTTAAAACTTTACGAACTTTACTTGCTAATGTGTCAAACCATGATGAACAAGTTTTACACAGGATGTTATGTCCGAAACGTCAAACAGTCCCCACCATATGGCGGTGTTCGCAGGCGTATTCTGCTGTTAGAAATAACGTTAATAACTTAGCCGTGTTTCCTTTTCATCCTTCTGTCAGTTATAAAATTAAACGGATTCTCCAGGAGTTCAATTTTCAAGTCATTCTCTCGCCTATCAATAAAATCCGTGGTTCAGTTCTTAAAGATACTATTACTGACTTCAATTATTGGGGAATTTATAGCATATCTTGTCAGTGCGGTTCGAGATATATCGGCCAAACCATAAGAGCATTCAGATTTCGCATTAAGGAACGTGAATCTTATGCCCGAAAAGGTGAAATTTACAAGTCTTCAACTGATAATCATAGTTGGAAATTTAATCACAATTTCGACTTTGGGTCTGCCGAAGTTATTCAGAGAGCTTCTTCTACTGGAGAATTGGATTTTCTTGAAGCTTTTTGCATTCACAAAAATTTATCGTGATCCTATTTAACGCTATTATCCTAATTTTTCAATTTTCGTTATTATTTCTGCTAACTGATGGCGCTACTCTGTCGTCTCTCTCGGCTTCCTTAGGGTAAAAATATGTTCGTAACTTGGTTTTTTAATTGCAGATTTCTTTGCTTCTGATGAAGATGGATAATTTTTCACCCTCGAAATAGATAGAGTTTCTAAGCTAAAAATCTACGCCTAACGCAGGTTGTTGCTTCACTTTTATGATACCACACGGAGTTATAGTCTGAACAAAATTAAAGGTAGAGTAAACAGTAATCTTAAATTAACTGCTAGCTGTACACGCCAAATATAAACAGAAAGATGATATGCTTCGTCGCCACATAATCGCTTCTATAATATTGTCGGGTTTGTACGGGTTTGTAACAGTTTGAATACACACGGGTATGATGATAGGTTAATAAAATTTATTTTGTTAAGAGAAACACTCTAAAGTTCTAGAACTTTCCGCTAAAATACTGGTACAGTTGTTCACAGTTTCACAGAGCACAATCAGTAGTGACACTGCAAACGACTAAGAAAGCTAAACACACTGCAATGCGATGCGCATCTAAAAGGCGAAGCTTTCCATCATACGAAGTCGCTCAGAACTAACAGCTCACAACAACAGCTTCTGAGAACAAATGCTCGCTCTGATCTTATATAGTTTTCACCCAGCCGCCAAGATATTTCTATTACTTTCTACTTCTCGAAATCACCGAAAGCATATGAAGGTGGAATTACGACTATAGCTACACAGAACATCAATCACAGTTATTCAATTACTATGGCTAATGTGCTGATACAGGGCGATACCAAAATGTCGCCAAATGTCACGAAACGTGGTACCATTTGGTGATTTCTCACCAAATTACGAATGTAGCCATTTACTCAGTGTTAAATAGTCTTCCCCTGTATTCTTGCTTTAACGACAAGCTTCGCTCCTTTAGATTATCAGGTTGCTTTATACAAAAGAAATACAACAGTTTAACATACAATTGCGCATCACTTCTGTGGATTACATGAAATTCACTTTTCATTCTTTTGTGAGTACTTAAGTTAAAAATAGCATTTATTTGTTTTTAGATTTCAATATATTAAGCCAAAGTTACACATAACTGTAATGTACAATACGGTATGCAGATTACCTGCTATTACAGTGTTCACGTCATCATGTAATGATCATGTCCAAGACTGAAGGAAAATCTCGGGACAGTAATGTAATAGGCATAAGAATATATAAAAGTTACATAAGAATATACACTCATGTCCATAAATTAAGGATAATGCAAAATCAGGCAAAGGAAGAGTTAGAAGCAAAACAAATTTGACTTATTTGTAAAGCTTATTTATTAAACAAAAGGTAAAGAACAAAAAAAGATGCTATATGTTTGATATTATTAAAAAAACATAGCGATTTTTCTCCCTGGAGCAAATTACAAAAAAAAACCTATTTACAAAAAAACCAATATTACATGGTTGGTATGATTGTTAATACATTGCATGTCTCCCAGACGATGCAATACAGTCCGTACAACGCCTAGGCATGCTGAATATCAAATTATCGATCTGATCTTGGGGATTATTACATCACTAAAAAGCAATGCTCTCCGAAGCTCCGGTAGACTTGTAGGAGGAGGTTGACGGGCTGTAACTCGTCTGCCAAGCATGATCCTCCGATTGAAGGCATTCGCTTACGATGTTTGCACGGTGAGGACGGGCGTTGTCATCCATAAACACAAATTGTGCGCCCATGGCGCCCCGAAACTGACGTACATGTTGTTCCAGAATGACGTCAAGATAGATTTGGCTTGTCATGGTTCCAATTTGAACATGCAGGGCAGTTCTGGAACCCAGAATAATTCCACCCCAAACGAGCACTCCTGCACCATCGCAACGGTGTCGTTCAATGATGTTTTCTTGGTGGTAACGGCTACCTGGAGCTCTCCATATGAACGTCCGGCGAGAATCAGACTGCAAGCTAAACCTGGACTCGTCGGAAAATATCACACAAGCCCACTGTTGCCGTGTCCACAATGCATGCTCTCTACTCCAGGCTAACCGCAGGCGACTGTGAGTTGCAGTAATTGGAACGCATCTGACAGTTCTACGAACATATAGACCAATTCTGTCCTAAGCGTCTGTACACGGTCTGCCTTGAAATTGTCGTACCAGTGTCTGAAGAGAGTTGACGAGACAGGTCTGAGGCTGTGCTCCGCCTGTTTGGCAGTAATTGCCAAATATCGGTCCTCATTCGGCGTTGTAACTCTGGGGCGACATATGCTGTAACGTCTACTCACATTACCATCATCTTGGAATCATTGTCAAAGCCTGGAGATGACACTCTGGGCAGTTAAATCATCCAAATGCATCCTTTGTGTCATAACTATTCGATTATTGCACTGAAATGCTTATAAAGCGCCTGCGAACAATTTTACTTCTTTGCCTGTATTCCTTATATATCACTCTCTTACACTCTCGTCATTGTGACGTACCATCGGTGTCATTTGGTTACTTCCTGAAATTTGCATATGATTCTTGAAGATGTGTGTAGTGATTTTACAGGTGATATATTTATTTTAGAGTTCGATTTCCGCGTGACTCCGAATTATCCTTAATTTATGGAAATGAGTGTATAATAAAGGTTATCAAAAGTTTAACGTAGTAACTTTATGCGATAACTCTAAAGTTCTATATTTTATTAGTTTATAACAAAAACAAATTGTCATTATTATGTCCGTAACCACCAAATTACCGGCAGGACAAAAAAAAGTACTGTCAATTGATACAAATTTTGAATTATTAAAATATTAGCTACAAATTCAGTTGATTTAAACTTAAGATATTTATAGCACTATAACCTTCTAAATTACTGTTAGTAATATGAAACTATTTGATTTGTGGTTATTTGATACAAAGTTTCTGCTTTTTAATTTCCTTAACTTTTTCCGAAACAAATATCATGTTGTTATGTTATCATGTTCGTGGATTATTTCATACAGTCCATAATATAATACATCATTTGGAAAGACCTGTTAATTATATCCACAGATATACAATTTTCTGACTAACAATTTATCCTCGCTAAAAAGAATGCACTCTCGGAGAGTATTATAAAATAAGTAATGACCAAGTAATAATGGACGAAGGCCAAGTAATAATGGACGAAGACCAAGTAATAATGGATAAATTCTGGATGAAACCACATAAACAATTCCAAGACCACATAAACAATTCCAACACCAAGGTAAGACAAAGTAATAATATACAAGTTCTAGATGAGGAAAATTTTGAATTGTAAATAAATTTTATTCAAATATTTATTTTTCTTCTTCTGAAGAAATTTGATATTTTGGGGTGAAAGTTGTATATGCGAAAAAATGAGATAACTGCAAAGGATGAGAACTGAAAAGAGATTGCAGAACTTCAAAGAAACGTGTATCACATTGTATATTATGTTGCTTGAATCACAGTAATTTATATTAAATTATCATCTACATCACGATGATATATAAAAACTACTGTAATTAATTTTCTTTTTTGATTGAAATCTCTTGCGATGCCTTTGGGCTTTACAGAAATATTCATGAAGAAGGAGGGATCTGGGTTCGCAGAAAGAGGGAAATAGAGAGAACAAATTATAATGCGTATAATCTTCGTTGAACTACATTTACCAAAAATAAGCTAAATATAAAATGATTTTGGGAAATTAAAGTGCACAAGCACGATAGATTCAAATGGAATGTAAAATGTAATATTACTGTAAAAGAACCAAATATTAATGTCTCAAGTGTAAGAGCATTTGGTTTGCTTTTCAGAAAACTGGAGTTGGTTACACCTTGGGGTCGAGCTATATATACGTTATGCTTTTGAGGAAGCCGAATATACTCTGGTGAAACACTACGTGATAGTTTCTTTAAATATACGCAAATCGAGCTAACCAAATAGTGGGTTAATATTAAGTGGCTCATTCATTATACAATATTAACTGTTGTATTAATTAATTAAAGGTATATTTTTGAAATAATTATGCACCTTTAATTAGTTTATTGTTATGTTATTATATTAGTTAAATTTAAATAAAATAGCCAGGCAGCCATGCAAAATTAACGATTTAAAAAATATTTAATTCGTTTAAAGAAATTTCATCCTAAATCACATTTAACTGAAATCAGGTAGAGTAATTCTTAAGCATTCTTCTTTTACGTCCTGGTACAAGCAAAGGAATATCGTAACTGCGAAAACTTTGAGGTGTCATATTTCAACGGAAATATCTATTTAACTGTTCCGAATAAATTTGACGTTCTTTTAGGATGTCTGCACGTACGAACTGAATCAAAAACTCTTTTTTTCGAAAAAGGATTGTAAAATGAATTTTAAATGGCTTCAAACGAGATTTTTCGTGACGTCTGTAGATACATATGTATGTATGTATCTTGCATGACACTCTTATAAAATCTAGTTGCGCACCTCTCTTTTTTTTAATGCAATTGGAATAACTAGTTCTGCACTTCCCTTTTTCATTGCAATAGAAAATACCAGACGTATGCGTGTTTGTGTATGCAGGCAGAATGTTTTATTTGTATTTTATTCGTTATTAAACCTTATAAATTCATAATTTCAAGAGTTTGCTATACTATTTTTTCCTAGCATAGGATAATCTTTTAAAATTTCTTTAAAAAATTTACAATTTCTTAAATTCAATCCTTTGCAGATCAAGCTCAGGAGTTTTTAATTTTAATTTTAATTTTACTTAATATTAAAACTTAAAAATTTACATTATATATATATATTAGATAAATTTTTAAGGATTGGGTATATAGAGCCCTTTACCCTACATAAAAATCTTTTCCGGGCCTTTATTTTCGCAATCATTCCTTATAGTCACATACTTCCAAATACAAAAGTGTGTTAAGTAAAGAAAATATTCATGTTTTGGCAATGACAAATTTTTTAAAAATATATTTTCGACAAGCAACGAAATCTAACTTCTAATGCAGTTGTTTCCGGTTCCTACACTTACACTTGGAAAAGTTCGTTATGAAAAATATCCTTATATTCGTTATGAAAAACCAAAATTAGAAGTTGGACTCAGGTCCAACAAAGCTGACTGGGATATTCAATTTAAAAATGCTCAATTTTTTATATAGTTTTCACTTTACCTTAAGGGTTCGATTCATTAAGCTAAAATTATTCGAGGAAATAAGTTTAAATGAAGTGCGGCAAAAAGTGTGTATAATTTAGTAGGTCGTACAAGGAAGTCATTTAGTGTCGACATCAGTTTTTTTCTCCCTCTAAACGAAATGTCTTAAGTAGACTGGAATTATTCTGCTATGTGATGACTCTTTATTTCTAAAGCACTTTTCTATTTAATCTTACTTTGTGCCTATATATCCAGCTGTACAGTTGCATGAACCATCATAGGGATTGCAGATTCCGCCGTTTTCACAGAAGCAAGCTTGGCTGCAATTTTTCCCATATTTGCCTTGAGGACAAGTCAAATCGCAGCTATCTCCTCTCCATCCTAAGAAGAAAATATCCTATTATATTCTTAAAAAATATCGCTAAGAGTGAGTATATTTCTTACTCTCTATTAAAAAACTGCAAGTTTAGATCCTCACGCAAACTCCAAGTAATATTTTTATCTATTATGTTCTGAGCACAAATAGGTCTCTTCCACTAAATTTCAACTTGAAAACTCGAGGAATGTGCATATTTACCTTATTTCCTCATCTGCAAAGAACTGACTATAAAGAGCAAACTAAACCAAACTAACTTGCTAACTGCAACAAATTTTAATCTAACAGCTTTTCTTTTATTTGTATTGAAATTCTACTACGAAAATATTTCTGACTAAATTTTTAAATAATCATTGTAGAAATTTTTGAAGCCATTTTAAATCTCTGATCAGTAAATAATAATACAAAAACGCTTTCGCTATTAACATTTTGCACAAATCTTTAAAAGTCTGAGTTAAATTTGATAAATAAAAACCGTTAATACTTTTTATCGAATAGTTTTAATAGACATTTGTGCCCTCGAGAATGATTTTTTTGTATCTTGAATAAAAGCTTTAAAATGATTTTTATATCGCAATTTTGACATTCTCAAAGCATTTTGCTACTCTTCTGGATTTAGCATATCCATGCACACTTTCCAAAAATATGTAATTATAAAACTAAGTGTACATATATTTCTATAAAAATAAGGCAGATATTTCTGTCGTTGTGACTTATCTCACTTGTCTGGCATTAATATCAGAACGAGCCCATGAAATTCATCGCGGCAAGGTGTGCAGGATTCTGCCTGCCGTTGGCAAGAGCCTTGAGTACCACAGAGTGCAGTAGAAGTAAGCGGCACGCAGATCTGCCTAGCTCGAGGACGCCTTAACACAGTTAAACGTCCCAACCCCTAAAAACGATCCAAGGAGGTATAATCCTCCAGTCAAACCAGGGGGACAATTTTTGTTTCACACAGTCTGGGTAATTGCACACAGTTAATGGTGGACTGCAGCGCATCCACCTAAAATTCATAGAACACTTTTAGACATCGACCGCCCCTCAGTGTTGACCAAGGGGAGCCAAACCCTTAATTACAACCTTCGATATCAAGCAATGTAACGTCCCACAACAAAGGAGCGGACAAAATAGTACCATATGGTCAATGCCGAGCCTGTAAATATCACAGAATAAACGATGATTCTAGTCACTGTGAAGACTGTTAATTTTAAGACTGTTAAGACAGAACGCAGGGATTGCTAACCAGAAAGCCGAGATACCCCCAGTAGTTATGTGTACCATACAAGTGAAAGTACGACTTTGCTTAGTTCCGCCTTCAGTTTTGATGGAGAGCACATCGGGGGGGGGTGACCGAGCGTCTCCCTCTATCATCAACCTCTCGAGAGGACTTCCGGCTCGTCGCATATTTAGAGTGCCTCCTTGTCGCACAGACACTATACCTTTACAAACATCCATGCCTTTTCCGTGATTCAAATGCGGAGCCTTCGGTACAACAGTCAGGGTAACCGTATCGCGGTTGGGCGACGGAAGACCTTTCTGTGTAAGCAGGAACTTTGCTATAGTGAATCATAAAGACAGCATGGCCAGGAATTATGAGCTAATTAAGCGATACCGTATAAGCGGTGCTTAATTTTCCGTTGGCTTCGTTCTAAATCTTTTGGAATTAAAACAGTGAATAGCTGCATTTAGGAACTAAAGGTATCCTTAAAATTACAGGAAACATTCAGTTTTTATATACTGGAAACTGCTATTTTTTCTCTTTCAATATCACTGGAGTTTACCTTAACGCAAATTGAGTTCATATGTGCTATAAATAATTCATATTTTTAGGCTGATTTTTATCGTATTTTTAGAAACGTATCAACCATATTCCGAAATTTAAAGAGTACTTTTTTTTCGTCTCTGCCGCTGCAGTTGTTAAATAATTCAATTTTTTAAAGGTAACCGAAACTGCTTAAAAATGGATGTAAAAAGACAAAATCTGATGTATATTTATTTCAGTAACAAATTCTAATTGATTATGAGTATTAAGTTAAATTAATTTATTTACCTGCAGTACACTGGCAAAATCCTGTCGATGGTACGCAGGTTGCTCCATTTTTACAGTTGCATTTTTTCGAGCAATTGTAACCCCACGTTCCATTCGGGCAAATTTTATCACATCTATAAAACAAGTATTTTCAGAAAAATTAACATATGGACAATACAACTAACAAACAGCTTTTCAAAAATAGAGAAGGAAATACTTCTTATATAGCATCTGCCACAAGTTTTCGTATACTTTAAGAATTTATAGAAAAAGTACTGTAGCCCGAAACTGAATTCGAATAAAAAGCTCAGTATTTTTTTCATATCATCTCCATGTGATTTTGAGTAAAACCAAACTTTTTTTTTAATACCGACTACTGGCTGATATTCTCTATTTAAAATTGAATATGTAAGGAAGCGTAAATAAAACACGTTCAAAAAGTGATCGTACAATGAAGATTTTTGTAAAACTTTCATAAACAAAATTATCACCTGCCCAGGTTTTTAATTTTTTCGTTTTGGTCACGTTAAAAGAATCAATTGGCTTTATTCTATGATTGCTCACTTCGTTATGTTTTATTCAATATTTAAAAATGGCTCATATTCACAAAGAAACAATGAATAACATTCAAAAATTGATCATTTTCCAACATAAGGGTGGATAATCGATCTGGATATCATTAAATTAGTAAATTTATTCCATTCTACCGCGCAGTATGTGATAAAACGCCTTAAAGAAGAAAATGGATCGAAACTACTGTAAGAAGAGATCACTCGGCACAGTTAACTCAACGTCATCAGATATTTATAGTTTGAAAATATGTGAAAAATCCACGTTTGAGTGCTATAAACATTTTTACAGAATTCACTGAAAGATATTCTACTTTGAAGGCTTTCCTTCACAAAATCAATAGTAAATAAGCAAATGAAAACAAATTTAACATTTTTTACAATGGACTTATAATTCTAAGGCGAAGAAAAAATGAGGAACTTAATCTCAAGACCTTGGTTGGAAAAATAAAGCATGGAGGTGGAGGTGTCCATGCGTGGGTGTGCATGTCAAGCATCAGGATTAGGTATTTTAGTATTTATTGATGGCATAATGAACCATTATCTTTATTTAAATATTTTAAAGGATAATTTAAAATCATGCGCTCAAAATTTAGGTACTGGAAACGAATTAATTTTTTATTAGGATATAGCAATTCTAAGCGTACGGCCCTCGACGTTCGCCTTTCATGTGTCTATAATTGTCCAAAAGTTCGGAAAATTCCACCTCATTTGCCAGATATAAATCCGATAGAACATATTTGGAGAGAATTAGAGTTTAGCATACGAAGACACAATATTAAAACGAAAACTGAGCAAAAAATAGTAATGATGGAAATACATTGATGCAAATATTACAAAATCAAAAACAAAACTAAACAAAACAAAAACGAAAACAAAACTGCTGAAGTCTATGCCCAGCCGAGTGTGTTTCCTTATTATTGGTTTTGCAAAAAACAGTTTTATTGTGTTCATAAAATAATTAACATAGTTTTGCTAAGACAAATTTATAGGTATCATTAAAAACTTCTTATTCTCAAATATCAATCTTTATTAGTGAAAGCAATATTTTACTGAAACTCGTAAGTGTACGAACACTTTTGAAAGCTTCTACAACTCTTTCTGTTTGTATCTACTTACCAGTAAATAAATCAGAGCGATTACATAATCCATGAAAGGAGAAAAATTTTAAAATAATCTAAAAGTAAAAGAATGCCATGTCTGAATAAATTTCAGAATACTTATTAGTATTGTTACTGACACACATGTCTTACTTTAAGTACATGTTTTCAAATATTTACAACTAACTTGCCTAAAATTTGCTTGAAGCTAAATTCATGTCATCTGACAAGCAGACATCAAATGACCTTTTTGTCTAAAATTTGTAATAAAATAATGCGCCTTCCATGAGAATATAATACGAGAATGTAATAAAGAATATAATAAATATTCATTATGGCCTTAAAATTAGATGAGAAACTAGGCATCTAGGAAGTAGAGTTTGCACCATATTCTTTTTTTTATATTCTAGACAATTTTCTGAACCACTAATGAAAAAATGTGTAACCACAGAACTTAACACACACAAAAATTATATATTAATTCTAGATGGTGAAAAGTAGGAAAAAATATAAATTTTTGATAAATCACATAAAAATCTTCGAAAAGCATAACAATAAATTCAAATCACAAAAAAGTCATATTTATAACAATAGAATATATATATATTCATACTTAAAAATGAATACAAAATTAAATATATATATACAAACACACAATATATAATATATAATTTTGTAAATATACGGCATGTTATGCTTCAGTGAGAAAATAATCTAACATTAATTTACGTAAGCAAAAGTGTTTAAAATTATAGAGTTTATATGCACATTAATTAGATTTTCTTCGTTGACATTCTTTAAAATTTATTGGTGTTTTATTCCGAAAAAAGAAGGTTTCATGTTAAGTTTGCATAAATTCACTCAGTGTTAGCGCATTTCTCATGTCACAAACTTAAATTAGTTTTTATAAATGTGCTAAACCTAATAGATGAAATTTCCATATTTGCATAAAAAGGGGGTCATAATTTTTTTAGAAAGAAAAAGAGAAAGCTTATTGTGAAGCTAAGCTAGCGTACATTTTATTTAGAGGGTTTTATTCCTTAAAATCCATAGTTTCGATGACAAAACTGCTACAGAAAATTTGGCCAGAAATTCTTTATTATAAATAGAGATTTTATGAATTTTTCTTTCATTAGAATGATTTTGAAAAACGAAATTTAAATGGTTTCAATTTTTGATTAAAACACATGTTTTTAGAAAAAGATGTAATAAATGAAAACTGGGTTACCAAATTCCACAAAAATAGAACAGAATGTCTCTATTACATTAAATTTGTATCTTATTATTTAATACAGTGAATCTGTGTCAAATTATCCATGAATGCAAATTATTTTTGAAACGTATGATACTGTACAAATAAATCTGAATAAAAGATTATTTTTTAACCCATTCACTTTACGAGAACGTCAGCACTTCCCTTTCAATCTATACTAGTTTGGTAACATATTATTTAGTTCACTCATGGCATTCGTCGCTATGGTTTGAAGTTTATCACCGATTTTGAACCTACTTTCCTAATTAGCTATTGATCTCAAATTTTGTGCACACACCCTTTGTCAGATGAAAATGCGATTTGGTTGCGAATTTTTCAAAACTAGATTTAGATTTTTTTTATCCTATCAATTCTTATCAATGGGTTGAGTTTCTTATTGTCATATTTTAGTTATACCAAGGATGTTAGTTCCTTTTCTAAACCAAATATTTATCTATTTTTGACCGTGTTTATATGTTTCAATTTTTGACATGAACAGCGTTGACAGAAAGGAGAGCATGACTGTTGCATTAAATAACAAGTATTATTTCATTAAGTATCTGATAAATGTGCCGCTTCCATGTTTTAGAGAAACATAATCAATATGTTTGAATTAATTGCCGATGAGGTAAGATCGTGAACAATATTATTAAACATTATAAAAAATCTTTGAACTAAAACTAATAAAAAAAATGTAAACCTACCGATTTAAATTTTATTATTTTGATAAGAAAACCAAATTAAATACTTGCTTTATGACAGATTACTTAAAGTGTTATTCAGGAGTTCATTTCTGCTTCTACACTTCAGCTGCGACTTCTTGAACTCTTGCTCTGCCGTAAAGCTTCTCGAATTCAGAAAAACAACAACTTAGGTGAAGAAAATTTCTTGATTCGGCATAGAAATTCAAATATTAGTAGAATTTTCTTTTTTTTTTTTCTATGATGACACTTATTTCATTATCCACACTCTAAGAAAATCAGGTACAGAAAGTATCTTATTTATGTCCGTCAACCAAACACCAATACAAAAATGTTCAAAGCTTTAATTATATTCATGCTGCATGATATTTTAATTGGTATGATGAACTGTGATAAAAAGTGCTGAGAGCGTAGAGTAGAGAGTTCTTTGAACTCTGACGAAACCTGATGCGAATGAGATTTTTTTAACTAAGATCTTGAAGCTCGTCATAAATCCAAGAAAATTATGTCTGCTTTACTGAAGCTTTAAATCTATATCTTCGAAAGGCCAAAAAAACATGACTGACCTCAAACAAATAGATAGTCTTTGTTCAGTTATGAAAGTAAAGCTAAAACAAAAGATAGCCTGTCAATAAATCTGCTGATTTTCAACCTCAGAGTTTGGTCTTATAAATGATAAACATAAGCATGAAAGCCTTAACAAACTGTCAAAGCTAAAAAAAGCCTATCTGAAATTAAGTTTAGTATTAGACTTTGTAAACCTATGTTTAACAAAAATTATGATTTTACTTTAAGTGTGCAATTTCATTTGCTCGCTACTTTTTTTTTACGCTTTTATTTAACGCTTTTCTTTCTACATCGTGTAAATTATGTTATGAATAATTTTGCTCACGTTTTATTTTTCAGCATAAGGCGTAATGATATCTTATTTACATAGTATTTTCCGTTATAAATATTTCCTCATAAGATATAAGCTATACTCGATCCTCTGCACTAACATGCACTCAATAAAGCTACGTTTGAATGCTGTGATGAACTAAAGACTAAACAGTTACCAGTTTCTTAATGGGTGCTTTCATCCCATACTCGTATTCTGACAGAAATATTCAAAATTTAATAATCTTATATTTTTTAAATAACATACTTAAAGCAATGAACTGTTAGCACCTACTATCCGTTGATTTATTCCATATGAATATAACATATATTTGCCTTGAAGAAAAGTGTCCAAAATAAATTAATCAATGTTGAAAAACCTTGCGAACCTTACCTTTGTGATGGTTAATTGGAAATTGTCTCTAGCTCAAAGAAATTGAAAACAGAACTTAGTCGTCATTTAGATCACCATGGATTAGAAATGTATTACAACAGGCAAAATTGATTGAAGATAGCATTGGTTTCAGGGGGTAGTTTGAGAATTTTCCTTTTACCATTATGAATGAAATTTCGTTTCATTTCTTAATTTGTAATTGATGTTTTAATTCCTTCATAGATATTTAGATTAAATCACAGGGAACTTATTTGTTAAAGTAGGTATTAAATTGAAGTAGCTTACAATGTTCCATAGAAACCAGGTCTACATTTACAAGAACCATCCACATGATCACACATTGCGCCATTTTTGCAGGAACAGTTTCGGTTACAGTTTTTCCCATACTTGCCGTGTTCACATTTCACATCACAGTTCTTTCCTCTCCATCCTAAATGCAGAAACATTAAAGATAAAAAGGAGTAAGAAATAATATAGAATATATTTATATTGTATTGGATGATATAATTGTAGAAATAGTTATACTTTCTGATGTAGAAAATGTATTCAAATTAGATCTTCTCTCACTGGGTTCCGAGCTACCAATGCTAGACAGATATGTCAGCCATTTACATCATAACAGCGCGAACAGTGTTATATAATAATATTTACGATATTGTGATTCCTTATATCATATTATGATTTCTTACTTACCAATATTATGATAAAATATTAGGATTTAATATGACATCACGATTCCTTACTTATTGGGACTACGATAAGGTATTATGATTAAATAGCCTAGTATAGTCTTTTGCATTTTTCTTCACTTAAGGAGAGACTGGGAAGAGGCATGAGACTCAATCGAATCCAGCTATTGTCTACCATATTTTATTGGGGAAGATATAGCAAAAATTATTGGGCTTTTCGTTCAGGAAACATTAAAGATCAATTCCCCAGGAATTCATCCATGGATCAACAAATGCTAGCTAAAAGTGCTAACTGTTTTACACTACAAAAGCGTTCATGGGATGTATTCATTAATTCCTTACAATTTCAGTCATAGTAAAATTTCATGATGCTATCAAAGAATGGAACTTATATACAGGCTGTTTTAGCACAGTGGTTACAACTTTCAGGAAAGATAACGTATTCCTAGACAACGGAAAAGCACACAGCAATACCGCTTTTCTGACGCGATAGTAACAACACAAAACACGAGAATGGACGGTCATAAATAGGGTGAGAAAGCATGTTCATTATGCTTAGTACAGCAGAAACTAAGAAATAAGATTAAAAACAGACAATGATCGTCATCCAAAAAAGGTGTTCGAAATTAAGCCCCGGACGGTGATGCAGACCTTACATCTCCGGCACATGGAAGATCTGATGAAATACCAGACGTGTTCCGAACTTCCCTAGCAGCTCCCACAATGCATGCAACAAGTTCTTTAACACTGTTGAGGGGGATTTGTACAGCGTATTCCCAGAGGAAGTAGTCAATGCAAGTGAGGTCTAGCGACCATGCTGGGCAATGTACCGGCCCACCTGTGCCGATCGGTTTTTGAGGATACGTTGCATTCATGTACTCGTACACCAACAAAAGCTGTCGTATTGTTTTAGCTATACTATGCATAATAAACATATTTTCTCACACTGTTCGTATCCTTCCTTTCTTGAGTTTTGTGACGTCACTATCGCGCCAGGAAAGCGTTTCTGACCATGCATTGCTACATGATTTTACATCTTCTAGTTTTATTCCGTCTCTCCTGAAAGTTTGTAACCGCTGTGCTAAAACATTCTGTAATGTTTTAGCACAGCGGTTACAAAATTCATCTGTTTTTACAAACAGACTATCTCTTTAATACTAAAACTGTTCCTCACAATCGAGTGTAATTATGCATGGGAATAAAACGAATCAAATATTAACCACGACAGAATGCAATTTTGAAATAAGTAAATCAACTGAATTAAAATATCTTTGTGCATTATTATTTTGTGAAGTATTGTAGCCTTTAGTTTTGAGTGAAATTTAATGTTATTCTCTGAAAGGAAATTCATATACGAATAATTTCTGTGCAAAATAATGCCACTTACAGTGACTGCAAAACATAACTTACCAGGAGAACATTCGCAAAATCCTGTAGTCGGTAGACATCTTGCTTCATTTTTGCACGTGCATCTGTTTGAGCAATTATATCCCCATGTGCCCTTTGCACAAATTTCATCACATCTGTGAGAGAAAATGAGTTTAGAATGAGACAAAATATAAAATTGGAGCAAACGTATTACCAATGAAAACTCATTTCTGATTTTGCTCTATGTAACATTGCCCATACAATTGAACATTTTAGACACGATGAGTCAGTTCTTGAATATTCATCATTCATTCACATCATGATTTAAAAATTAATATTTAGAATTTATTACTGGAAGAGAATTTTTATTGTTAAACAATTTAAACTGATTATGCTAATCTGTAATCTTTATGAGGTGGGATATTCTGAAGCCAAGGTTGCCATCAGTATGACTAATTATGAATTCAAGACGATTACAAAATGGAGCAAAACGGTAATCTCTTTTTTAATAAAAAGATATAATAGGTTTGTTGAATTGATCTGTCAAACTGTTTGACGTTTAAAATCAACTCTTAGATTGTTTACTAAATTAAAATAACGTCTTCATAACTGTTTTCAGATACTAGTAGCCCTTGTAGTATTTTGTAGGACTCAAAGCGAAATACGAAGGCACAGAAAAATAATCTTTTATGCTTTAAAATAAATAAGTGCCACTTCTAGATACTAAAATTACGCACTAGTATTCTAATTACTACAAGTATGCATAAGACAACATTTTTATTCAAAACTATAAAAGCTTATCAAAAGCTATTGTAATCTGCATGGTAATAACAAAAGGAAGTAGGTTTAATAAAAGATTTAGATAAAGTTCGATGATTCATTAACTGAATTCATCCTGCTGTTCAAATCACTTTTGAATTCGAGATATCCAACTCCATTCCATTTGTCAATGTTCTGGCCACAGGCGTTGAATCTAACTTCAGTATCATATGCCTTCATCAGTTTGGCCCCAACGCTCGAATCAGATCTTATCATTCTGCTGTCATTTTGTGAGCTTTATTTTATTCTTTCGTTTACCAGGCATTCAAATGTGCATCTATAAATATGTATGCTTCAATAAATTAGCTCTTGATTAGAAACTCCAATACATAACAGCTGTTACAACTGGTTAAGGTTTCCGATCTTAAATTATTAACAAAACGGTTTAAAAATAATTCACCTCAAAAATATCAACTACAGATTTGATTACAATAATTTATTAGTTATTCTTTTCTTCCAGTCCATTAATCGTAAAATTTCATGGATTTAACATAACTTTCTTGTCGATTTCGTTCTTCTACATATTTCTCAATTTGATACTTCACGATCTCATCGCAGATATGAAACCAACAAATATCAATACAAGTTTTCACCATTATGTCTTAGTAGACATTGTTCAGTCTTTAAATTTCCTTCTAAAGAGCATAAAAACAATTAGGTAAAAAAAAATGTTTTATTTGGTCAAAAAACCACATTCCGTTTTTCTGTAGCAAGACTTATTCAGAAGATGTTTTCTATTGGGGGATTAGATGTACTGCAAGCATTTCACGCCCCCAGAAAAAATCTTTTTGCTCAATATTCCCGATTCTTATCCTCTTTACCATCAGATTTTAAAGTTGTTCTTCGCTTTTCGTTCACATTTTAGTCAATGGATGACGCCAGCAGCTTTGTTTTCTACCATTTAGCCATAACCGTCTCGAAATTCCGTTTATTGTTCTCTCGTAGACACGTTTCCTGTTCATCATTTTCATTTTCGCCGCAAAAGTCAAAAGTTCATGAAATGAACAGTTTTCCAAAGGGAATAGTATTGGTAATGCCGCTCAGGCGGTATAGTGCTTAGGGGAGCCTGACTGCGCTACCGAAGGGCCCCGGGCTCGAATTCTGGAGAAGGCATGGATGTAATCTTCTATCACTTTATAGGAGACAAAGATGACCCACCTATTAGGTGGCTCCATAATAAAGAGATCACCACATCTGGCCTTGGAAGCGGCCGATGCTGGCATAGGCAAGTGCTCACCATTAGAAAAAATAGTATTGGTAATTGTATCTAAATGCAGGGACGGCACTGGTCTCTTCCCCCCTGGCGCAATCTGCGAATTCAAAAATTCTGCCGCCCGGTTCCTTCCTACATTCTAAATATTTTAACGTCTGGATTCTAAAAATCTAAATTCTGCCGTCTGGTTCAGTAGCCCCGGCTGCACACGTTCTGGAGCCGGCCCTATCTAGATAGCTTTATATGAAAAATTTAAGTAAATTAAAAGCATTTAAGATGTGAATAAAATATGTATTTGCATACATACCTTTAACGCAAAAATAAAAGTTTGAAATACCAAGACCACTGAATTCATCTTCACGAATACTGTTACTTAGTTCCATGATTAATTGGTTTGACCTACCTTTTTTTTTTTTTTTTTACAAAAATCTTTGTCAAATCAAAATAATAATTTACAAATTATCCTTAAGCTCCGCAATATTTATCGAAATACCAGCTAATAATCAATAGAACAATCAAAAGAATTTAATTTATCTAGAAATTGAGAAGAAATCCTTTTTGAATGGATTGCACGTTCATCTTTTAATTTACATTCATTCATGTTACCTAGTAAGGTTAAATGTTTCCTTTCGTAATAACAATTATTTATAAAATATTTCTACTTTATCCAAAATTATTATAACATTTCAAATGCTCTTTTGAAGAACTGCAAATCAAACAGAATAATAATGAGATATGCTAATGGAAAATTTATTTAATGAAAAAAATTAATACATTATAAAAGAAATTTTAGCTGAATTTTATTCAGAATTTTAAAAATTGATTAGAAATTTTAATTTATTACTTTGATCCGCGGAATCCAGCAGTGCAATTGCAGGAGCCATCTATGGGGTTGCATGTTCCGTTATTCATACACAAGCATTGCTGACTGCAATTTTTCCCATATGTTCCGTATTCACAAGGGTCATCGCATCTTTTGCCTCTCCATCCTGAATGAATATAAATACAATTTTTAGCTAAGTGAAATTATTTTATTTGACGTATGTTGTTTTAACCATAAACTAAACTTCTAGCTAGTAATTTCGGACTGCGGAATGAACTAACTAGAATTTTAAGAACTGAATTTCGAAATGCATCCAAATCCATGCATGGCATAAGCGTTTATTTGGCAAATTGAATACATATACAAAGTAGAAACTAGAGAAAACTTATGAAATTATATACATCACTTTGCGTTTCAATATACATTCAATTAAATATTGTGTAATGTATTAATTACTATACGTATAAGCTTTATGTTAAATCATATAAGGTGCTGTAGAGTCATTAAGTTATTTTTGAAGAAGAAAACTAGAAAAATGTGCAATGATCTCGCCGGGACGCATATTTCGTAAGTTCACATCTGAATAGTCAACAAGGTGTGTGGCCTCTAGAAAGGATCAGTGGGCTTCCAGTAATATCTCTGTCATTTCAAATGATTTTTGGCGCGCTTTCAGCAAGATGGTTGAAAATGTTTTGCTGTGCAATTTCCTGTACAAAATAATTAAAGCATTCCCTGTGAAAATTTTCAGTGCTTAATTACATATATAAATAATATAAGTCTAAGGTAGATCGCATAGTTTCATATGTAAATAATGCAAGTCTTAGAATTATTTTTTTCAATCTATATGAAAATGATACTCTATAATGATAACCAATGCACAGTTTTATTAAAAATGAACTTTCCTAATTTGCATTCCTACACATTTAGTGTATTCTATTTCACATTAATAACTGTTCACTCTTAAATGTATTGGTCTGCGCAAGAAATATTCTTCAAACAGAATGATTTTATCTTATTCACAACGAATTTATTTATATTATTCATATATAATTTTTAATATTAACAATATTTATAATCAGATCATTCGCAATATATTCTTTGAAACCTGCACTTTCAAAATCAAAGGAATACAAGCAATGAGATTAGAAAATACTAGATTCATCGTAACATTTCCTGTTATTCTCAGCTCAGTAAAAAAAAATGATGCATTGGAGTTCCTCTTAACTACAGATGCTTGTAAATGCATAATATTCGAGGCTAATTTTAGCTTGAGTCATTCTCTCGATATAAGAAGCTATAATATGTCACCAATGTTAATCCGAATATCCATTGCGTGATAAGTTTCACGAAAGTAAAATGTTGAAGATTCAATAAACTTGTAAAATGAAAGCATGATGAGATTTTCTACTAAAATGATTTATACGCCATAAATTTATAACTGCGAAACAGATGCAAAATAAAACGTTTACAACATGCACTCATACGCAGTTTCAAAGTTTCAGCCTCACAAGAACAATAGAAGGTCATGGGTCCATTTTTGAAACCCCTCCCTCAGTGGCGATACTGATGTGCACTTATGAATTATGCCGCCGGGACTCGAATTTGAATCTCTCGAATGCGAGCCGAGTGTGCCACCGTTACATCAAGAAGGCATGTAGGAAAGAGGGAGAAAATACCTTATATATCCCCCTTTTAAAAGGCGACTAGTTATTAAAGGACACAGTCACCAAATACTGGCGGTGACGAATTATTTTCCACCACCTTTTAGTTCGGGGGCCATTTGTAGATTCATTAGAATTTGTTCAAACAAGGAAATCGAAGAAGTCTGCAATTCCATCGCCGGGACTCGAACCTGGATCTCCCGAATACAAGCCGAGAGCCCTACCGTTACACTTTACTACAATTTTTGTTTATAAGGAGTTTTAAATTTGTGTCTCTATTAAATAAAAGTAAATGGAAAGATTTCAGATGCAAGTGAGTTTTAACCCTTTGCGGCACAGTGTTTCCAGTCTGGACACACCTAAAAATTTCCTTCTGTACGCACAAAAAAATTGAATGAAAAATGAATTATAGGTTACTATAGGTTACTCTGAACCTTCTATATTTATAGTAGCTGGCAGATCAAACAATCCCGTCCAATATGTAGCCATGTTTAGTTTTTTAAGACCCTCATTTTCAAAAAATCTTCAGATTTTTAGGGTATAAAAAGGAATAGTTTGAAAAGAAATTCTATCTTTTTTTGGCTGTATGCTAATATCCTTATATATTAGTTTTAAATTACCTTGAAATCTTACGTAAAATAAAACGGTGAACCTGGTGTGCCCGACCGGATTACCGATAATCTAGAAATGAGAGTCGTATTCGTTTTGCTCCGCATCTCATCGGTCAGTTATGACAACAATGCTCGTTTCAGCAATCTTTTGAAGCTCTATTCAAGCAGTGTGCCCACTTGGGCCCACCACCGAATAAAACGATAAGTGCTATCTTCACAAATTTTACTGCGATTCTCTAGGCCTAATGGACGCCTACCTTTTTTTTTTTTTTTTTTGTTTAATCAAAACTCAACTTTAAAGGGTAGCGAGCTGAAAGGGTTAAAGGCTCTTTTTATAACTAGCTGCTACAGATTTTCAAATTATTATTTACTATTACACTAAACATTCGCCATTTAGTGTTATTAAACATAATTATCCACGAAATTTATTTTACAAGTAAAAACTAAAAGTTAAGCACAAATATCGTACTTCAGTGGAAAATTTAGGAACAATTTAAACGTTCACTTATACTCAGTTATCAAAGCATATTCATTAAAAAAATTCTGCTTGGTATGTCGCATTGCTCCATTATAATATTTTTTACTAGAAACTTTTCCTTTGGTTTTTGTGTCTAACTGTTATATCTCGAACATATGCTACGTTGAGCTCAAAGTTATGAAGGGAAAAAAATATTCAAAAAAAAAAAAAAAAAAAACCTGGCGAAAGAATATACTTCCTAATGTTTTATTCTGATTTATGTGAATGCATATGGAAATGAAAGAAAAATCCCATTTGAAGTGTTGATCTTTGTTGGAATTAAATTAGAGGTTCCTATCCCTTATAAGAATGTGATTGTTTCCAGAGTATTTTCAAATTTCTCTTTGTTAATTTAAATAATTAACTTAACATGATATTTTTAGTGCTACTTCCCTTTGCTGCAACTTTCTTATACAACAATTTCTTGATCAAGGCTATAATGCTGTACTACTGCTGCTTGAGTGTTTTTGAAAACAGAAAATGATCTTAAGGGTCTTAAGACCAAGGTGGCGTAGAAACCAGACATTTACAGAAAGGCAAATACGCCTTTCGGTCTGTATTGTCGATATTTATTCGTAATTTTGTTTATTGTTTGTGAGCGCTTACTGGTCACCGAGCTAAGAAGTGCGCTGATATTGTGGTATAGCAATGCCAAGAGCACTTCTAAGATTGTTAGTTAAGATTAGATTTTTTTTCTTACGTTTATATGTATTCAGTTCTGTGTGGTTCGAATGCAGACAAAAATCTTTCTTTAACTTAGAACTTGAAAATATCAGTTGAATCAGTTAAATGTCATATGACAAATTTTCCTGACGAAGACATTCCATTTATCAGTGTTACAAACACTACTAGAAAACCACGACACAAACTCCAAAAAAAAAAAAAAATACTGGAAAAGTTTCTACGATGCGAAGATATTGTAAATTATTCCATGAAGAAAATGCGTAACAAGTTGGTACAGAAATGGTCAGAAAATTCACTAAACAGGTTGCCACATTTTGTGACACCTGCGCAGAACAACCGTTCTTATGTTTACTGTGTTTCAATAAAATCTATTACAACAATGTAATTAAAACAATGCATTTTTAAAATTTTATATCGTATTTATCCTTGCCAATTACCGGCGACTGTCGTGGCCTGAACGGAAAGTTCAGAATCAGTCACCGTGACTGACGAGGCCTGAACGAAAAGTTCAGTATTAATCACCGGAGACTAGTGAGGCACTCGAAGTGTTATATTCAGAAATATTTTACTACCTTTCCATCCTATGATAGAAAATATAGGGGATAAAGAACCGAATTTATCTTTTCTGTGTAATGTTTTGGAAATTAACCATTCGTAAGTTCCTATCTATTCATATTTATGAAAGGACATATATCTTATATGCATGACAGATCAGTTTTTAAAATCAATCTAAATCAAACCTAGTTTGTATCAAGGGAAATTATAATTATGTTTCCTGTAAAGTTAAATCAGCTTTTAGTCAAAAATTTAACTTAAAGCGGCTATAAAAATAAACTTAATATTTTTACCATCGCATATTTCGTACTTTCTTAGACACCAAACAATTTACCTGGCAAGCAATCACAGTATCCCGTTGTCGGTATGCAGGCTGCCCCATTTTTGCATTTGCACTTCTTCGAGCAATAATGACCCCATGTATTATTAAGACAGACTTCATCACATCTATGTAGAGAAAAACAAATAAGAAATATTTCCTAATAATTTAAATGACTGAAATGAAATTTAAATTTATTGCTTTTACCATTTTATATTTAATATGAGCTATTATAATAATGTTTTAGCGTCTAAAATTCATTCTATCAAAATATACAATAAATATGATCATTAAACCATTTAAAATTATGTAGTGCATTTGTTTCATGTATAACGCTAATTATATAATTCTTACGTTTTTCCTTTAAATCCATCCGTGCAGTTGCAAGAGCCATCCACTGGATCGCACAGGGCACCATTTCGGCATGCGCACTGCTGGCTGCAATTCTTACCATACTTCCCAGGCTTGCAGGGCAAATCACAAGTCTCACCTCGCCAGCCTTGTCAAGATATATATTTTAATAAATCAAAATTGCGTAATCAGAGGTAAAATGCTGTTTGAAATTTTTATCATAGTTTCTTCAATATTTATTGAGGTATAAAAATGTTAAAAATATTCTTAAAGCAGCAAAAACCGTTTACAAGAATTTTGTAATAGAAGCATTTGTTTTGAAAAATATTTTTGTATGCAAATATTTCGTATAATTCTCCTGAAAAAAATAGGTCTAATGCAGGGAAAAAACTGAAATGTTCGTCGCACTTTCAAGCAATATTAATTATTAGAAACGGTGAATATATTCAGAGGATAAGACTGAAAGATATCGATCCATGTCTCGCTGTCACAGGAACGATAGCACATATATATTTGCTTCCTGTGAAACTGGTAGGAATTATGTGTAACTTGGAAATCATTCACTCCGTACTGATCTCAGAATTATTATAATGCAGCTATATTTACAACTTACATAGTAATATAATCAGTAGCTCTGAGGGGGGGACTTGTCTTAGTGGTCAAAATTTAATGACTGATTAGGGATGAGAATTTCACCAATTCGTCCACAATAAAGTCAAAAGCAGTTTTATTCTCTAATGAGAATGAACTTCTATTTCCTGTAGCATATACTATAATCATGAAAGTCACTAATGGCAAAGAGTAACACTACTTCAAAATATACATTACAAAGAAGACCCATGAGCGAAATACTTGTGTTGTTTTAAGTTACCTTTTGCAGTTTCAAAATGAACATACGAGTTAAAGCATTCAGTTAGTTTCAGCAAATACCATTTAAATTCTCGCCTTTTTGAAATATTTTTCTGACTCAAACATCTTTATATGATAGACAGTTCAGTCTCCTGTACGTTTTGTACAATTATTGTGCATTAAGTAAATACCCAAGAAATACTGGCGAGATTCGGGGCTATTGGTACACAGTATAGGCTATTATACACCAATACTTTATCGTTCTCGTACTGTGGCTTAGTATCAGTAAATCCAATGTATTTATTATACTGTGGTTTTACTGATAGGACCTCAAGACATTTTTAATACTGTTATGTTTCATTATTGGAATCACCGAACCAAAGAAAACCAACCAAGTCGCAACAAATGTACTCAATTCCTCTGCATAAAGCTACATATAAAAAAAAGGGTTGAAGGCTGAAATTTTTCAGATTTAAGGTCTCCCAAACGAGTTTGTTAAGGTTTTTACGCTCTCGCTCAGCTAGCAGTCTACCAGTTTTCTCCTGCTAACCCCCCCCCCCATTTTTTTTTTTTTTTTTTTTTTATTGCCAAGCATCATTTTCTTCGCACTTACGCGACATACAATTCAACAAGAAAATCATAAAATTAGTAAAAGATAAAAGTATTTTATTTTCTTGCGCGGGAACACATTGCTTACAAAGAGCCGAATTTGTTAATTAAAACTGAAATTTAAATATCTTATTTTTTTTCAAATGGCAACAGTCTCGAGCACTGGATATAAAAATGTTATATTTCGAACAGCGTTGCCACTTCTCGCTTGCAGATTGTTGAGTTTGTTAATCAAAAATTCACTAAAATATTTATAAAAAATAATAAAACAAGTTTGAAATTGAAAATTCGAGCTTCCAGGTGCACATGTTACGTTGGGAGGATTATGTTATTCGAAATATAATGGTTATAGGTACCGTCGTTTTATCACAATACGAAGAACTTATATATATATACACAGTTTCTTCATTATTTAATTTCCTTAAAAATAATAGAGGGCGACGGTATTTTATGACACCACTTTGAAACGTTATACGACATTTTGAGTGAACAAACATAAAATTCCATTTTGAGACTATTAGCCCTTTCTGTGCTAAAAAAAATAGCACGTGGTGCCTTTTCCTGGGAACATTAGTAATTTATTTAGTTCAGTTTTATATAAAACCAAAATTAATTAAACTGCTTGTTAAAGGTATGTGTAAAACAGATGCGAATTCTAATCGATGGCTTTTGATGCAATTGAACGAATTTCCTTTGTTCCTTTAAAACTGGTGGATAACAGTTAAGTCAAACGGGACATATCTATTCTATTTTCTGCAGCTATCTCATCTTTTAAGAAAGAGCTGAGATAGCTGCAGAAAAGCAAAAAATCTTTTCAAATACAGAGCAGTTTTTCCACAAATTTGAATTGTAAAATACAGGAGCACATACTCTTCAGTAAGTCGGATTATTCTTGCTTTACTATTGCAAAATTTATTTTGTCAGAACTTTTTATCCTTTTTACTTCTTTAAAAATGCGTTTGGTTTGTAAACTCGTTCCTGAAGTAAATCTGAACTTAAGAGAACTCTTGTCCACAGACAATTTCGAAACCATATTTGGGCTTCGGATCTCTAGTTACACCTTTGTCAATGGTAGGGAGACGGGGAGGAAAAGTACAAGAAATTTAAAAAAAAAAAAAAATTCAACTAACAACGAAAAGTCGTTTCTAGGAATTTTCAAACTGCCTGTGTTTCGGAGAAAATTGCTGAATGCTACAAAATTAAAATCCGACAGGCTATAGCTCCATTCTGCTTGTGCATCTTACATAATTCAGTCTGTGTGCTTCTAGATGTGTATATACTAAAATGCAACTCAGTAATAAAATCCATAAAAGCGGAATTATTATAGAAACATAAATATTATTATTAAATAAATAATAAGTAAAACCAAATATGCATAATATTGTAAAATTTGCGAAATCTTTGTGCACTAAAATAGTAGAATGAAATATAAACAACAAGTAATCTGATGTTACATTTTATCCCATTTATCATATTATGTTTTTAACTGCAAATATCTTAACGCGCTTGCATAACTAAAAATATCTTAAACAAGTATTTGACAACATAAATGAACACTCGAGCACTCAAATAATTTAATTTTATCAATGTAATTAAATAGAACAAAATTCACCTGGTGTGCAATCACAGGAACCCGAAATTCGGTCACATTTGGCTTCGTGTTTACACTTGCATTTGTGTGAGCATTCAAGACCCCAAGTACCATCATCGCAAATTTCTTTACATCTACAAATGAATAAAATGACTTTGAAAATAGCTATTTAAATTCAGTTATCTTGAATTAAGGAAAAGCACACTGCACAGCAATGGCTTGTGAATTCGAATTCCTAGAAATCTACTGTTTCCCTCCGCAACAGTTTTTTAAACATGGTTACTTTTTTTTTTATATTACGTGAACAGTCTTATTGAAAATACCAAGTTAACTATCCAGGAAAAAGTACATTTCTTTCTCAGCTTTTTAGCTCTAAAACCAAAATTCGTTTCGTTTCGAAATAATTATTTTATGGAAATTGATAAGTATTCACTTGGGCAATAATAAGTTTGTGAAGTATTTTATATTCTACTAAAGTTGAAAATGATTTAGATTCGCTTTTCAGTGTTTGTTGCCTTAATGTGAAATTAAACTTACTAGAAATCTCAAATTAATGTGTAACACGTAATCATTTTTATTATTAGATTCTACTTAAGCTTAAGCTTTGGCAATACCTCATTTGATATCGCTATCAGACTCTGACGCATGAGAACTAATTTGTGAAAAATAATATAGAGAGTTAATTTCCTAAAATTTATTCAAGACGATAAACATAGCTAATTGACAAAACAATATAAATACGAGTCAAAAATACGTTCCTTTCATTAGACAGAGAGCCCTTGAGTGTTTTGCCTTAATTAAATAAATAAAAAATAATGAATAACAGACTCACTAAACCATTAAGTTGTTTCAAATAGTTTTTTTTTTTTGAAGGGGGGGACAGAAGAGGGTTGCTTTTATACCTCTAACTGAAAATGTTAATTCTATTTCATCCATCTGCAGATTTTGGTTTCATTGCTAACGGGAAAACATTGAATTTTAAGGAAAAAAAAAGTAAAATCTTCAGAAATTTATCAGCGAACTTTTAAATAAAATTCGTGTAATATCTCTAAAAAGTCTTTTATTGTTATTGTTGTTGTTGTTTTATTTTTTATTGTTTAGTCGCAGGATGTTATTAGCATATTATAGTTAAAAATAAGATATTCAAATATTTCTTACATAGATCCTTTGTATCCCGGCGGGCATTTGCAAGAACCATCCACAGGATCACACAATCCGCTATTCATGCAATTACAGTTTCGGCTGCAGTTCTTACCATACTTACCAGATTCGCAAGGCAAATCACACTTTGGACCCTTCCATCCTAAAACAAAAATCCATACAATATATTTTTATGAGAATGGTAGGTAAATTAATGTATTTGAACTCGGATAACTTTTACTGTACTAATCAGATATGATCTGAAGTTTAAAAGATATCTTATTCAAAATTTGGACACTTAGGAAATATTTTCTAGTGATGATAAATTTAAATATAAAAATTAATATACTCTACAAACTATAAAATCAAATTAAATTTCGGGCTCAGTTAATTTAAACAATTAAAAAAATTAATGATACTGATCGTTTCAAAACTGATCTAAGAAACAACTTTTGATAAGAAATTTCCGGTTTTCTAAGCTTACAAACAATTTTCAACACAAAACAAACGTTGCGGTGTAAGGTATTTCTCCAACTTTCCTAGCGTCCTTCGTGGTGTAGTGGTTCTGTACGCTGGGCCGGTATTCCAGAGGTCTTTGGTTCGATTACCGGCAATGGCGGTTGTTAATTTTTCATCTCTCCAACTTCCAAAAAAATCCTAATGTCTCTACGGCGGATTTAAAAGATCTGACCCAAAAATTGTTGCCTTTGTAAATTTTCTTATTTTTCTTTCAAATTAAAACACTACTTTGCTCTTCTGTGTAATAAAATAATATAAATTTAAGAAAATGCTCGTGATTGATACTACAATATCATTATAACAGAATGTTTCTTGTCTCAAACACAAATTGCATGAAGTGATTTTTAGAATAATTAATACCGTTACTATGAAGAATGATGTTTCTAGCAATATTCACGGTGTCTTGTAAACAGTATTGGAAACGTCCGGAAAGAGTATTGGAGTGTTTGGAAACAGTGTTGGAATAGCTGGAGTCACACGGAACTTTTGGAAGTCATTTTGACACGTAAACCATTTTCAAACTTAAATAAAATCAATAATATTTGCTGCCAAAATTTTATCAGTAATCCAGACAAGCAAATGATTCTGTACTCATTATAGAAACAAGATATAGCGCAATTTTAAGGATTTCACAGACATTATTACATAAAACGATTTGAAGGGTACGGGGAAAAATGAAATCGCCGCGGAGGAGAAACATAGTCTCAGAAGAAATTTATATTTTAGCCGAATTAATTTGCATTTCAGTTCGAGTTTCTAGCAAATACTTTATATAGTCCTTTATACCGTATGTGCAGTTATAGCATTGCCACAGGTAAACCATTCCGAAAAAAAAATGCTTTAAAATCGTAGCCTAAATAAAAGTGATAGATCGAATAAGAGAGCTTTTAGTTCTCCTAGGAAAACTGCTAGACATACTAAAGTTAAAGTGAAATGTGGATTTACCTTTTAGTAACACGCTTTATAACATGAAAGGCAATGCATGAAGAAGAATTTATCCGAAATGATGCGATGTATATTCACTGAAAACGAAAAGCTAACAGTATTATAGGAATGGAATGTTTTATTCAGGAAATAAGCTACAAGTGCATAAAAAAATCAATCATGCGTTCCCCCATATCTGGTTTTGATACAAGCTGTTATTGCGCTGGACACTGACTAGAAAAATTAGCGGATGCTCTCCTGCTAGATTGCTTGCCATATGCTTTTCAATTGGTACGTTATATCGGCGCTATCCAAGGACGGGTGGAGAGGCCTTCACATTAAATCCCAAACACGCTTGCGATCGCATCTGCCAGGGAACTTTTGGAGAAAGATGAAGACATGTTCTAGAAAGGCGTGCCATATGCAGCCGAACGTTATCTTATAGAAATGTAAACCCAGCTCTCCGTGAAAGAATATTAAGAATATGAGGCGTAGAATCGGGTGTCACAGCTGGCAATTAAAGAGATCTGGTTTCCAAATGAAATTGCACCGCATACCGGGTTATTCAGCTATGTGGTGGACGACAGTTAGCTGAGAATCCCGTCGCTGACCTGGACGTCTCCAGACATGTCTTCGCTATTCACAAGGGCTCGTTTTGAAGCAGGACTCATCGCTGAAGACAATCCTACTCCAGTCCGTGAGATTCTAGGTCAAATGCGCGCCGCAAACATGCCGCCTGTTTTTGTGCAACGGTGAGAGACAGTCGGCGCAGTGGACTTCGTTACCTCAACCCTGGTCCGTCTAGTCGCCTATCAATGTTTATTGCAGTCACTGGCGTCCCCGTTACATATCAGAGCGTTACTAAGAATTTACCAGGGCTATGAGGGCCGATTGATGAGCAGTCTATTCTCACTTTCTCTCGTCGTTCTCACTAAAATACTGTATTCATAACGCTCTTTGCCGCTTGGTTCATGTATTTTACACATTCCTGCCAATATCATCGAATAGTTACATTGCTTCGACCCAATGTCTAGGGATCCTGCAATTGGAGCACCCTTCTTCCTTTGATCCAGTTGCACGGCCTCTCTGAAGCGGTAGCATATACTCATACTGTTCGCAAAACCCCCTGCGAGGCACTGGTACAGTTCAGTTGTGTCGACGAAACCACGTACGTATGAACGTTCTGCCCTAGCATTGTAATGTCCTCTGATTTATATATCCGGATTGTTTAGTATTTTTCGTACCAAACGAATTACTAGTGTGTCTTTGCAACATTAGATGGCGTTGCCGCCTGATGATTCAATTCTGGTTGCTATGGTAACGAACTTTCAACTCATAATTTATGTGATTTGTATTCTATTCTTTTTTGTTTTATTAATTGCTACTATGCATGGAGTGATGTGAGCTGTGTCGTCACGTGGACGGCATTCCTTCTATTTCAAAGTGTTATATAAAAAACAAGTGATATATTACAGTCCGCTTACCATTTTTTTTTGTGAACTAATTCATAACATTTCTGGTCCGTCGAGCCGGAGAGAAGAGTTAGCGATCTTTGGATATGATGTGATTTATTCAAATATTAGCAAATTAAATCACTTTCGATTTGTGGATTAATAAACAGCTTAGTGTTCTTTCGATTCGATTTGTGGAATATTCCCGTGGCATGGTGTAGCGTAAAAACCTCAACATTGGGGTGAGTACGTTCCAATATTTCATCTTCTTTTGCTAGAGTTGTTAGTATAATATTTATTGTTATTCATAATGGCTGATTTGAAACCAGTTTTAACTAAAAAGAAGGTTCTAAAAAGCAATATAACAACATTTAAAGGCAAGGTAAATTCGAATTTAGAACAAGCAGAAATTTTAGAGGTAAAGTTGTTCGAAACGAAACTAAATGCTTTTAACAGTGAGCTTCGTTCTATTTATGAGGAAATATTTTTGTTGTGTCCTGAAAAAGATTGTGATACATTCATTACGGAACAACAAACAAACAATACAAGAAACTTTAGATGAATTATGGATAACTATAAATAAAAAGTTACAGAAACTTTCCAGTGACTCTGTTATCGAAACAAGTAGTGCAGCAAAAGTAAATTCGTCTGACGTTCGATTACCAAAATTAGAACTTTCTACCTTTACAGGGGAAAATATAGATGAGTGGATTAGTTTCTATGATCTTTTTAAGGCTAGTGTAGATAACAATCCGAATATTTCTAAATGTCAGAAGTTTCAATATTTAAAAGCTTCTTGTAAAAAAAAGGCTCTGTCTATTATTGAGTCAATTCCTATTTCTGATGCTAATTATGATATAGCGTTGCAACTTTTACAGGAACGTTATTCTAATAAAAGAGAATTAACTAATGCATTAATCCGTAAAATGTTTAATTTGCCAAATGTTTCTGATTCAGCTCAAGCTATTTTACATTGTGTTGATGTAGTGAATGAATGTATACGCTCTTTGAAAACTCTTAAGCTAGAAGTTTCTGATCTTTCTGATGTTCTTTTTGTTTATCTGATAACTGAGAAATTAGATAAAAACATAAAATTTTGGTGGGAAAGAACTTTGAAAAAAGATGAATTAGGTACTTTAGATAATTTACTCGAGTTTCTAAAAGACCACGCTAGAACCCTGCAGAATAGAAGTAGAAACCAATCTAAAGATTTTAGGAAATTTTCTAATTCCAAATTAACTTCTTTAGTGTCGAGTAAAAAAACAGTTGTATAATGTGCAAGGAAGATCATTCTCTTCACAAATGTGCTAAGTTTTTAAACTTAAGTGTCCAAAAAAGAATCGAATTTGTTAAGAAACACAAACTTTGTTTTAATTGTTTATCTTCTCAGCCTCATTTAGTGAAAAACTGTCGTAGTTTACATAAATGTATGACGTGTAAGTTACCTCATCATACTGTTCTTCATTTTGATCGAAATATCAAAACTAGTGAAAATGAGAAACCAAAACAAACGTCCTCACTCTCCCCCAAAGCCGAAGTGTTCTTACCAAAGAATGAAGTCGTTACAAATGCCACAACATGTACAGGACAATTTAGTTATTCTAAAGGTGAATCAAAACGTGTATTACTGTGTACTGCTCTCATTAAAGTTAGTGATTCCAATGGTAAAGCCATCCCTTGCAGGGCTTTACTAGACTGTGGCAGTGAAGCCAGCTTTATAAGTGAAGAGTGTGTCAGTAAACTAAAGTTAGGTAGATTTAACAAAAAATTGAAGTATCGTGCCTTGGTTCGTTCAACACTGTAACAAGTGGAGAAGTGGAATTAATCTTTACCCCGCACTTTGAGTCAAATTTCCAAATTTCGAACATATGCATTCGTGATTCCAAGGATAACTTCAGATGTGCCTAACGTGTCGCTTCCTTCTAAAATTGCGAATCATTTTGACGATCTAGTCTTAGCTGATCCTAAGTTCTATGAAAGAAAACCAATAGATATATTTTGTTAGGTGTAAATGTATTTTTTACTATGCTTAAGGGAGACATCATAAAGAGAGGAGAATCATTACCCTTTGCAATTTGTTCTCAGTTGGGTTGGATCATTTCCGGGAACACTATTACTGATGATTCGAATCTAACTAACACTTTTACAGTGAATAATCTTCAGTTGAATACAAACGAATTAGTTGAAAGATTTTGGTCTTTAGACTTCCATTCCGGAAGTCAAACGTATTTCAAGTGAAGATAAAAAATGTGAAGAGTTCTTTAAAACA